GGGTCTTTTAGGTAAATGTTTTGTTCAGACTGACTAATATAATTAAAAGTTAATAAGTAATATTTAAATATAAAATAGTGCATTTTCTTTTCAATTTAGGAATTCGAGTAGGTGAACTTCATGGAAATCTCACGCAACCTCAAAGATTGGAAGCTCTGGAAAAATTCAAGAAAAAAGAAGTCGACGTTTTAGTTGCCACCGACGTTGCAGCTCGTGGTTTAGACATCGCTGGGGTAGAAACAGTAATTAATTTTGTAATGCCTGCAACCCTTGAACACTACATTCATCGGGTGGGTAGAACAGCTAGAGCAGGTCGAGTCGGAATTTCGGTTAGTTTGGCAGGAGAAAAAGAAAGAAAAATTGTCAAAGACGTTGTTAAAAAAGCGAAGCGGCCCGTTAAAAGTCGGGTAATCCCAAGTGAAATTATCGATAAATATAGGACAAAATTGGAAAAACTTGAACCCGAAATCGAAAGAATATTACAAGAAGAATATGAAGCGCGTTTATTGGCTAAAACTGAAAATCAATTTAATAAAGTTCAAAATATGATGAAAGGAGAAAAGCAAGAAAAGAGACCGTGGTTTCAGACGCAACGTGAAAAGAAAAATGAAAAAGAAAGATTAGCTCTTGTACCAGCAAACACCACTGCTAAAACAATAAATAAAGGAAACAGAAAGAAGAGAAAAATTGTCGGGGAAAATCCAGAAGAACGTATAAACAATGAAGTGAACAAAGTAGCTCTATTACAGGCCAGACTTTCAAAAAGAAAAAGCAAACCGAAAAAGATACGAACATGTGATAACACTCAGTCGTTACATCAACAAAGCAAAAAGAAAAAAGCGTCAAATTTTACTACCGATATTTGTGACGTTTCGAAAAAGAATACTAAAATGCTTAGATATGAGGTAAAAAAGCATAATAAGGAGAAAAACAGAAAACAGGTCAACAAACAAAAAGGAAAAGCATTTGGTAAGCCAAAAGCTAAGAAACAAAAAAGTAAATTTTAAGAAAACTGTCGTATAATTATTGTTTTCGTAATTCCTTTATAATATATCAAAAGTAAAAAAGTTTGTCTTGGTTTGAAGTTTTTAACTGTTTTTGTTTCTATAAAAGATTTTTGAGATCAACTCATACGATTATTGAAAACAATATTTAGTTCTTCAAAATATGACATTCAAAAGAATGTAATAAAAATATCTAGGATTCAAAAGAAATAATTATAATTTTGTTAAACAACAGTAAATTGCAATTGAACTTGTATTAATGAGTTCACGTGGGACTTCTTTGCGAATGAAATTGTATAATAAAGAATTAATCATTTAAAGAAATGATATAAGGAATGTTTTCGAAATTTACATAATTCTGGAGCAAAAATGTAAATATTTCCCTCTTTATATAAATTTCGAGATTTTACTTCTTTGTATATCATGTTTGAAAGATAAATTGTTTATTTCCTGCTTTTAGAGCGCCTCTTTTTTTTTCTTTTTAGTATGCTTCAATCAAAGCATCTTTTTTTGAAAAAAAAAATTCCTTCGATTTTTATCTAAGAAATGTATAAAGAATTTTACAAACTTTTCATAAACCAAATCTTACTAAACATGAAAATATACACCAAAATTAAACAAGTAGAAAGAAATAAGATTTACATTAACAAAAATATTTATACATAAGTACCTGTAAAGATAAAGATAAATCAAAACTATTAAGAGAAAAATGAACAAATAATATTAATTCACGTTTAAAACGTTCTTTTACTAATCATTAGAGTCATTTCAAATGTTTTATAATCTTTCCAAATCTTTAAATAAGTAGAAAGATGTTTTAAAAACAAAAAAAATTTTACTGGTAATTTAAATGCTCCAATCAGAATAAATTTTCTATTATCATAGAGCAGAATATTGGAAATATAGAGCATAGTACACTAGAACTACATTATTTTGTTGGCAAAGATACTTTTTAACTACCCGATTTTATAAGATAGGACATTTTAGCTACAGTTGAAGGTTATTCTACACATTTGGTAGTTAATGGTCAATGGCAGTCATTTTAATGATCTTTTAGTAAGTGGTGCGGAATTTGTTCTCCAATTCAAAATTACTTGTGCGAAACTTAAAATTAATAAAGGTAATTATTTATTATTACATTTTAGATTGTAGGTATGCCTTTTAATTAGCATGGAAGACAATTAATGTTTACGATTACAAAGACTTACGTAATATAAGTCTACGATTCTATAAATTGTATTTTAGATGTCTGATGCAGTTGCAAATTTAAAAATGCCTCAGTTAAGAGGTCTTTTGAATTCCCAAATAAAAAGGAACTTGATAGTTGCTATTGGTTTGAGTACTGCTTTTGGAATGTTGTTCAGGATGTTTGTGGGAAGTGCAAGAAAACAAAAATACGCAGAATTTTATAAGTACTTATTAATTTTTTATATTTATTATGCTGTACTTATATGTTCATCTTTTAGGAACTATGACATTGATAAGGAATTTAACAAAATGCGAAATTTAGGAGTGTTTGATTCATGTCAGCCTGATAATTAAACATTTCTGCCAGTGTAGTGGTCCTTTGTAGAGTAATGCTAAGTTGTAAACTATCATAAACTTAATTTAATATTTTTCTGTTGATTTTTATCTTTTTCCCAATAAAATTTCCTTTTATAGTCATAACAAATATACAACCTAGTCAATACAAACACCAGTCATATCTTTTAAGCAAAGTTTTATCGAAAAAATGGACATGTTTAGAAGAATAACATTTGATATACAAACTTCTCCAGTTTACTAATATTACTAATATTTATTCCATTTTAAAATACAATAGAAAAGTATCATTAGTCAACCAAATAGGGACTATCTAAAGCACCTGCACCTGCAGCAACACCTGCTTCATTAGCACTTGCTGTTTTTGTCCTTAACATATGCCCTACTTGGCGATTAATCATTATGTTTGTTGAATCACTACAAATAAAAAAATTACAGCTGTATAAATTAATTAAATATGTTATATTGTCATATACCCAATTATTAACCCAAAAATTCCTAACTCTGACACCAATTCTGAAACTTCTAAGTTTTTTTGTCCTCCAGGTCTAACTATGTATCCCTGTATAATTGGTGGTTGAATTCTATCCATTAAAATCCATGCAGCACGTTCTTTGTTTTCCTTAATCTTCAGTATTGCATCTCTTATTTGATCACCATAAATATTATTACCTCCCCCTTCTCGTTGCGGTTTTAACACGAATCTTTTGAGAAAATTTAGTTTTAAATTAATTATGGAATTAATTACAATAAAATGAACCTTTCTGGACTTTCAATAGCCATCCGAACAGCTTGATCTCCTAGTTCATCAAAGTCTAAACTGTATAAGCCTGTAAACACACCTCTTACTTCTTCAATTTTCTTTTTATCGCTTAAAAACATTTCTAATGCGCCACTTTTCGCCAGTGCTTGTTGGACTTTCTTTGTTCCTGCCAAATGGTATTGTATTGAAGGACACTTTATGGCTTGTGATCTAAAAATATATGGAAAAATTTGTTACTACATTTTAATTGATCTTCCATATATTTTTAATAATTAAGTATCATCCTTAATGTCTGACCTTTCAATTAGCAATCGTGCATCCCATTCCTTTTGAGAATGATAATGACCTGGTTCATAACCGGCTCTATAATATACCACTGCAACTGTATAGTCTTCACTAAAAGTATATATTTTCTGTTATTGCAACAGTTAGTAGATACATTGAAATAATTCCTTACACAATCAGTTCATTACTTGCAGACAGTTTCCCTGTTTGAGCTATTTGCGTCAAATTTCTTCTAATAACTTTTGTATTTCGATTAATCTTTTGAATTTCAAATTCATGAAATCTTTGATCACAAATATTATATGAAATGTCTTCAATCACGAACATTATGACAGCTTCATTATTACCATATATTTTCCACGCTTCAACCATCCCTTCACAAAGCCCTTTAAGAGCATGATTTTCTGGAAGCTTACAAAACAACTAGTTAATATTTTTTATTACAGAATGAAATACTTTACTTACATCTTTTAATTTATCAGTTAATCCTAGTCTTTCGAGAACAAATCTAAGGATAAAATGNATAGTTTTAAAAAAAATAAGCGCGCCTATTACGAATCATGGAGATGTCGGCTCGAAAACGACTGAAGTGGATACGCTATATTTATGTGGCCTTATAAAGTGCATTTAATTTTAAACAGTGATAGTATTAAAATAAGTCTATTATATGTTTTTCTGTACATTTCTTATAGTTTTACAGTTTTTCTACATTATTTTTTGAAAAACAAATTGACCTGCACAGCAGTGTAAATTATGTTACTGCAACCAACATAACACTGAACTAGGTTCTTGGCCTAATCAAGATCTATGATCAAGATCCAAAAAATGTCATAAAGTGAGGTTACAGTGAAGAAAATAAAGCATGGAGACAAACAAGACAAGTTACAATAATAATTTTAACATTTTGATTACACGTGAGTTTTAAAACATAGGATGACTTTAAACGAGATGGAATTTGCATCTAGAACAATTAGAACTATAGACGAAGGCGAAGAAGTTGAGAACTATTCAGAAAGTTCTGATGAAGAAGTGGATGTAATTTGGTTAGCGTAATTCGTTTCAGTCTACTCAATAGTTTATTCTCTTACAGTTTCAACCTTCCAAACAAAAAAATAAGAAGAGAGCTGATTTTGATACAGAGTTTAAATTTGGTGATACAAATGAGGATTACAACAAGGACACTTGGAATGATTTAGGAAAGTACGTTAAAAGGAAAGGTTCTTTAAAAACAGATGATCGTATAAAAAAAGTAAGAGCAAACATAAAAAGTAGTAATGGTGAGTGTGAAGCTGAGAACGATATAGGAAAGGGCACTGAAAAGGATGATATATCTTTTATGAATATATCTGATGATGAACTTAAAAATGACAACATTAAAACTAAAGAAAAGAAAGGTAAAAAAAGAAAAAAAGATAGAATAGACCAAGAAGAAGAATTTTTTGAAGAAGTTACAAAAAGTTCAGGAGATGTAAGTTTTTATCAAATGAACCTATCTAGGCCTCTTTTAAAAGCAATTACAGACATGAATTTTGTAAATCCAACACCAATTCAAGCTGCTACTGTACCTGTGGCACTTATGGGTGAGTTACTGTTTATTGTTTGAATGTACTGATCAAAAAAACTATTACTTTATTAATTATTAGGTCGTGATATTTGTGGATGTGCAGCAACTGGAACTGGAAAGACAGCAGCATATATGCTACCAACTCTTGAAAGATTAATGTACCGTCCAGCAGGTGAAGCTCCAGTAACAAGAGTACTTGTATTAGTTCCCACTCGAGAATTGGGTGTACAAGTTTACCAAGTTACAAGGCAACTTAGTCAGCATATCAACTTAGAGATAGGTCTTTCAGTGGGAGGTTTAGATTTAAAAACTCAGGAAAATGTACTGCGCAAAAATCCTGATATAATAATAGCGACTCCCGGTCGTTTAATAGACCATATCTACAGCACTCCAAACTTTACATTGGATTCAATTGAAATATTAATACTAGATGAAGCTGACCGAATGCTGGATGAATATTTTGCCGAACAAATGAAGGAAATTATTAATAAATGCTCAAGAACCCATCAGACCATGCTTTTTTCTGCAACCATGACTGATGCAGTACAGGATTTGGCATCAGTGTCTTTGAAAAAACCTGTTAAAATTTTTGTAGACAGTAATAAACAGGTTGCCTTTAATTTAAGGCAAGAATTTGTAAGAATTCGAGCTAATAAGGAGACAGATAGGGAGCCCATCTTAGCTGCTTTAGTCTGCAGAACCTTTCACACAAATTGCATGGTTTTTGTTCAAACTAAAAAGCAGGCTAGAAGATTGCACATTCTTTTGGGTCTTTTAGGTAAATGTTTTGTTCAGACTGACTAATATAATTAAAAGTTAATAAGTAATATTTAAATATAAAATAGTGCATTTTCTTTTCAATTTAGGAATTCGAGTAGGTGAACTTCATGGAAATCTCACGCAACCTCAAAGATTGGAAGCTCTGGAAAAATTCAAGAAAAAAGAAGTCGACGTTTTAGTTGCCACCGACGTTGCAGCTCGTGGTTTAGACATCGCTGGGGTAGAAACAGTAATTAATTTTGTAATGCCTGCAACCCTTGAACACTACATTCATCGGGTGGGTAGAACAGCTAGAGCAGGTCGAGTCGGAATTTCGGTTAGTTTGGCAGGAGAAAAAGAAAGAAAAATTGTCAAAGACGTTGTTAAAAAAGCGAAGCGGCCCGTTAAAAGTCGGGTAATCCCAAGTGAAATTATCGATAAATATAGGACAAAATTGGAAAAACTTGAACCCGAAATCGAAAGAATATTACAAGAAGAATATGAAGCGCGTTTATTGGCTAAAACTGAAAATCAATTTAATAAAGTTCAAAATATGATGAAAGGAGAAAAGCAAGAAAAGAGACCGTGGTTTCAGACGCAACGTGAAAAGAAAAATGAAAAAGAAAGATTAGCTCTTGTACCAGCAAACACCACTGCTAAAACAATAAATAAAGGAAACAGAAAGAAGAGAAAAATTGTCGGGGAAAATCCAGAAGAACGTATAAACAATGAAGTGAACAAAGTAGCTCTATTACAGGCCAGACTTTCAAAAAGAAAAAGCAAACCGAAAAAGATACGAACATGTGATAACACTCAGTCGTTACATCAACAAAGCAAAAAGAAAAAAGCGTCAAATTTTACTACCGATATTTGTGACGTTTCGAAAAAGAATACTAAAATGCTTAGATATGAGGTAAAAAAGCATAATAAGGAGAAAAACAGAAAACAGGTCAACAAACAAAAAGGAAAAGCATTTGGTAAGCCAAAAGCTAAGAAACAAAAAAGTAAATTTTAAGAAAACTGTCGTATAATTATTGTTTTCGTAATTCCTTTATAATATATCAAAAGTAAAAAAGTTTGTCTTGGTTNTATCCGAATTTGATTTCCAGCTAAATTCAAAACTTTTAGTTGGGTGAGTTTTGTCAAACCTGCTATGTGGGTTATTTTATTGCCATGTAGGTCCAGCACTTCCAATTTAGTTAAATTTGTTAATCCTTCCATTCTTTTTATTCTAAAAAATAACTTCAATTAATACCACGATTAGAAAAAAGACTTAGTTTTACCTATTTTTTCCCATTAACAACACCCTCAAATTTGTGAACATATCTAGTCCGTTTATCTTGTCTAACTGATTATCATAAATATCTAAAAATACTAAATTTGGGAAGTTTTGTAATTTAAAGGTTTCCAAACTATTTATTAAATTGTGCTGTAATGACAACAGTCTTAATTTGGGTTCATCTTCTATAAAGGGAATGACGGTTAGGCCTTTTCTATCTAAACACATTCGGTCTGGATTTTCTTCCTTTTCTTTAGTAGTCCGTGATACACGTACTGAGCCATCTGTGCAGTTATTAAAATTAGTTTCATTGGATGTCCAATTAGCATTTTGATTTTTTTCTACATAAGAAGATAAAGTACTGTGAGACTTTTTCAACAATCTTTTAGCAGTTTGCCTTGATGGTAGAGCTGGTTCGATATTTAATAGCTTGCTATCTATCACAGTTTTTCCATTGTCTGTAGTTGCAGAAACACAATCTAAAAGTTTCTTCTTTTCCTGTTAATTGAGTATTAAACAAAAAAACGAAAAAGGATAAATTAAAATACTTACGATAGATGCAGCAGTAAAACTGCTAATTGGCATTTACTCTTAACTGACAATTTTTGCTATTTTATGTTAAATAATTTATTTACAACACGAATAACTGTATAAATAACACATTACATAATAAACTAACCTACAAACAAATGTTTTGGTTAGTCGTGTCTATGGAATCAATTGTTTGGTGGTTAATGTATACACTCGTACAAATATACCCCTCGTTTTTCAAATTTGGGGTGAATTTTCAAATTACCAGTGACTGCTTATCGATAATTATTGGCAATTGTTTATAAAAAGCTCTGTTTTTTAGTACGTTCAAAAGTTGTAATTTTTCAACTTTTTTAAAATGAATCTCAGAAATTACTAATTTTATTATTTTTTTCTGAAAAAGAACTACAAATATGTTCTAAAATGCTTTATTTTCCAAAAAATTGCTTTTTTCCAAACAATGAACCAAATAGTTCATTTTTAGCTTCATCAGTAATCAATTCTTCATCTATTGGGGCCATAAAATTGACTAATTTAGAATGAACAGTGTATCTCACTTTTCTTCCTTTTGTAGCTCTTGTATCAACTTTTCTTTTCATTTTGCTTCTTAAATTTTGTAAATGAATCCATCGCTGTCCTAATTGTGTAGGATTATTTACATCTGCAGACTTATATTCAATCAACTCCCTTAACAAGTGATAATAAAAGTCATCGTCATCAAAAATGTTATTATTATATTCATCTGCAACTTGTGATTGATTACTTTCTTCTAAATTTGGAATTATATCTTTTTCCATAGGTTTAAAACCCAAAATTTCATATTTAGATTTCTTCAGCTGACTTCTCTTAATTAATTTCTCTCGATCCATCAAAATGTGTTGAATTTGGTCAACAACTGAATAAACTGGAACTATATGCTTTACAGAAGCTATTTTAGTTTTCTCATTCCACTTTTGTATAACGGCATTTCGATAGTTCCTATATAACTNAGCCCATCAAAAAAATAAATAAACAATTTAAAGCGTTTCAAAAAAAAAAGGCTAAATTGTAAGAAAGGGAATTGCGTATTTCTGTCACCTATGAATAAGACCTGAGGCTGGTCCTAGCCAACCAAAACCTGAAGCTATTGTATTTACTTCCACTTGCTTCCAACAACAGTAAGGGGCATGTGCTTTGCATTTCTTTCCAGGGTTATTGCAGTCAGTTTCTAACATAATATCCGAGCGGATTAAACCCAAAGACAAAGGCTGTTTGTTCATAAAAAAAGGAAACAAGGTTCCATTATGTAGCTATTAATACATTTTCCATTTTTCTCCTTTATTGTGAAGAGTAGAATCAAAGCCAGATAGGCATAAAAGGGTTTTTTAACTCTATCTGGTTTTAATTCAACACTTCCTGTAACTATTAATAACTGTTACTTCTTGCTTAAATAGGATTTTATGATATAACAGGGTAAATATTCAAACTGCTCCTGAGGCTATAAGCATCGTATTTCTGCAAGTTACTACTAATGGAACTGGAAATTAATTAAAATGCCTAGTACCTATCAAAGATAAAAAATACCTCTTTACTGTTAGTTTTTGTAGCTATATTCTTAATATTTTTTCTATTTATAGGCTGTTCTAAACATTTAAATTGAACTGAAATATAGTACTTGTCACAAGGTTACAACTAAAGGATGTCGGCATGTTGTACAAGACTACATTTCAAAAGCTGTTTTGTATTACAAAATGCAAACATTTAATACAATAGCATTTCATTGAAATATTATGTAATAAAGGTCAAATTTGATAATAAAAAAACAAACAATAGCACTAAATACAATTCATAGTTACTTTTACATTATCAGATAATTAAAAGATAAACATATCTGTTGGTCTAATTATACATCTTATTATTGCAATGAATAATATGTAAATACTCACTTGAGTTACTCCTTCATCCTGTATAGTCTCATAAATTTTAAATAATTTGCCAGTAAAATCATCAACGAGAACTGTTTCTTGTAAGCTACTAGTTAAAAAGCTTTGATTATGAGCAACTTTATGCATTAATTCATTTAGAATAATTTGCATTTCAACTGCTCTATTGAACTCTTTTCTTGGAAATGGTGATGGTAGAAGAACAAAGGGTGCAAAATTTAATGAATCTTCACAAAAATTACTTTTACTTCTCATTGCAGCTCCATGCATCAAAGCCCAATCTTTAGTCACTTCTACTAATTCCTGCAGCTCTTCTTTTGGCATGGGTAAAGGAATTATTGTCTTCAATTGACCATGTTTATTTTTCTTTTCATCTGATGCCATTTCTGCTACGTTTACACTTCTTAATTTTGAAGAAAATGTTCCTAAAAATTTAGTACATCGCGTTAATTTGTTATTAATTATCACTGCAGTTTCATTTCAGCAAACAAATACATTTCAAAACTAGACATAAATTATGTTAATTAACAGCAGAACATTAGCATTAATATAAGTATATAAATATATTTTCAAGACGCTGTCGTCTACAAATGAGAATGCAAAAATGACATGATAAGTTATCAACAAATAAGCAATTGTAAAATGTTAACAATATTTTAGAGTAAACAGCCAGAATGTCAAAAAAACCCTACCTATATTCCTTAAAGAATACGATTGCCATTATAAATTAAATTTTCAACTTTTTTTACGTAAAAGATACCTAATAGTTCATTTAAGTTGTATTCTACATATATTAAAAACTCATAAAACATATACCTAAAATAAATTAACAAGCATATCACAAAATGTAATCTTCACGGTGGTTTCACAACAATTTATTTAAAATTAACTGTATTTTAATATTAAATTTATTTCAATTTTATGTTATCAAAAAAAGAGGTTATGGTTATTCCATAGATAAGGGCTATTTATGTAAGCCATAAAGTAACAGACATCATTGACGGTTCGTTACCTTGCAAAATACATTAGTTTTTGCCTTTATTAGAAATTATAAACCCAGTGTAAGACTCATATGAATGGCATTTAGGACACGAGATGAACTAAAAACGAAAATTAAAAAAATAATATACCAAATAACTTAAGATCTGCTTTTTACAAAATATTGTCTGTTTTGTTACGCTCATGTGTAACATACAGTTAGTGACAATTCTGATAATAGATAGTAAATACAGGGTCGCTTTTTGTGTTGCCTATATAGAAGGTCTGTATTTTAGCGGGAATTAATTTTATGAATCTAAAAAATTACATTGTTTCAAATATTTAAAACTAAAATATGTATAAATTAGGATAAAATGCAAAACAATCTTTTGGAATTTCATAATCTGTAACGTATACAATACATAGTTGTGAAACATTTTCTCAAACTTTTGTAAAATGATAATTTTGATTACACTTTCAAAATTTGGATAACAATCTTCATTCATTATTCTTGGTCTCTGTTAAAGACTTTTGCCTGTGATAATATACCTTTAGTGTATTAAATCACTTGTGTATTCACTTTAATCTTATCAACAATCTTGTGATAAAACTAAAAATGACACTAATCAATTATGTTATCAATTATCCTTTTGTGCTTTTCAATAGTGCTCTAAAAGTACATATGGAGAAATAAAAATGAATCAATTAAGCTTACACGCTGTTTTGCTGTTTATTATTTTACGATGTGGTAAGTTTTGAAAAGTTAATTACATATGTATAATTGCATAGTGACTTGTATATTTGTAGGTGATTTTGTTGTTGGTCAGGACAAAGAAATTTTAAATTTTCTATCGCTATCTGACGAAGAAATTTATTTATGGAATTCCACCAATTTTCCCAATGCCTACCCTTTCCAAAATAAGACCTTAAATATTACTAGTGAGGAAACGTATTTTATAAATGTAAAGATAACGAATTTGAACATAAATACAGACGAAAATGGAGATAAATTAATAATCACATCCTCAGGTACTTTCAGTATACTGATACTTCTTAATAATAATATTGTGAGCTGAAATCAGAACTTGAAAGTAAATTTTTATAAAATTTTCGAGCAACAATTAGAAATTAAAACTTAGGAAATTAAAATAATTATTTCTAGCGAAAATTTTTGAGATATTAGAAATTATTTTGAAAGAAAGCCTCTTGAACAATTTGTATTTGAAGGTAAAGTAGGTATATACTCACTTAATAAAAACAGAAGTTCTGAACAAGCTTCATAATATATGTATTTATATCAAGGTAATAAATGATATTGGCGCATCTTTTTTATATAAATTNGTTTTTAACTGTTTTTGTTTCTATAAAAGATTTTTGAGATCAACTCATACGATTATTGAAAACAATATTTAGTTCTTCAAAATATGACATTCAAAAGAATGTAATAAAAATATCTAGGATTCAAAAGAAATAATTATAATTTTGTTAAACAACAGTAAATTGCAATTGAACTTGTATTAATGAGTTCACGTGGGACTTCTTTGCGAATGAAATTGTATAATAAAGAATTAATCATTTAAAGAAATGATATAAGGAATGTTTTCGAAATTTACATAATTCTGGAGCAAAAATGTAAATATTTCCCTCTTTATATAAATTTCGAGATTTTACTTCTTTGTATATCATGTTTGAAAGATAAATTGTTTATTTCCTGCTTTTAGAGCGCCTCTTTTTTTTTCTTTTTAGTATGCTTCAATCAAAGCATCTTTTTTTGAAAAAAAAAATTCCTTCGATTTTTATCTAAGAAATGTATAAAGAATTTTACAAACTTTTCATAAACCAAATCTTACTAAACATGAAAATATACACCAAAATTAAACAAGTAGAAAGAAATAAGATTTACATTAACAAAAATATTTATACATAAGTACCTGTAAAGATAAAGATAAATCAAAACTATTAAGAGAAAAATGAACAAATAATATTAATTCACGTTTAAAACGTTCTTTTACTAATCATTAGAGTCATTTCAAATGTTTTATAATCTTTCCAAATCTTTAAATAAGTAGAAAGATGTTTTAAAAACAAAAAAAATTTTACTGGTAATTTAAATGCTCCAATCAGAATAAATTTTCTATTATCATAGAGCAGAATATTGGAAATATAGAGCATAGTACACTAGAACTACATTATTTTGTTGGCAAAGATACTTTTTAACTACCCGATTTTATAAGATAGGACATTTTAGCTACAGTTGAAGGTTATTCTACACATTTGGTAGTTAATGGTCAATGGCAGTCATTTTAATGATCTTTTAGTAAGTGGTGCGGAATTTGTTCTCCAATTCAAAATTACTTGTGCGAAACTTAAAATTAATAAAGGTAATTATTTATTATTACATTTTAGATTGTAGGTATGCCTTTTAATTAGCATGGAAGACAATTAATGTTTACGATTACAAAGACTTACGTAATATAAGTCTACGATTCTATAAATTGTATTTTAGATGTCTGATGCAGTTGCAAATTTAAAAAAGCCTCAGTTAAGAGGTCTTTTGAATTCCCAAATAAAAAGGAACTTGATAGTTGCTATTGGTTTGAGTACTGCTTTTGGAATGTTGTTCAGGATGTTTGTGGGAAGTGCAAGAAAACAAAAATACGCAGAATTTTATAAGTACTTATTAATTTTTTATATTTATTATGCTGTACTTATATGTTCATCTTTTAGGAACTATGACATTGATAAGGAATTTAACAAAATGCGAAATTTAGGAGTGTTTGATTCATGTCAGCCTGATAATTAAACATTTCTGCCAGTGTAGTGGTCCTTTGTAGAGTAATGCTAAGTTGTAAACTATCATAAACTTAATTTAATATTTTTCTGTTGATTTTTATCTTTTTCCCAATAAAATTTCCTTTTATAGTCATAACAAATATACAACCTAGTCAATACAAACACCAGTCATATCTTTTAAGCAAAGTTTTATCGAAAAAATGGACATGTTTAGAAGAATAACATTTGATATACAAACTTCTCCAGTTTACTAATATTACTAATATTTATTCCATTTTAAAATACAATAGAAAAGTATCATTAGTCAACCAAATAGGGACTATCTAAAGCACCTGCACCTGCAGCAACACCTGCTTCATTAGCACTTGCTGTTTTTGTCCTTAACATATGCCCTACTTGGCGATTAATCATTATGTTTGTTGAATCACTACAAATAAAAAAATTACAGCTGTATAAATTAATTAAATATGTTATATTGTCATATACCCAATTATTAACCCAAAAATTCCTAACTCTGACACCAATTCTGAAACTTCTAAGTTTTTTTGTCCTCCAGGTCTAACTATGTATCCCTGTATAATTGGTGGTTGAATTCTATCCATTAAAATCCATGCAGCACGTTCTTTGTTTTCCTTAATCTTCAGTATTGCATCTCTTATTTGATCACCATAAATATTATTACCTCCCCCTTCTCGTTGCGGTTTTAACACGAATCTTTTGAGAAAATTTAGTTTTAAATTAATTATGGAATTAATTACAATAAAATGAACCTTTCTGGACTTTCAATAGCCATCCGAACAGCTTGATCTCCTAGTTCATCAAAGTCTAAACTGTATAAGCCTGTAAACACACCTCTTACTTCTTCAATTTTCTTTTTATCGCTTAAAAACATTTCTAATGCGCCACTTTTCGCCAGTGCTTGTTGGACTTTCTTTGTTCCTGCCAAATGGTATTGTATTGAAGGACACTTTATGGCTTGTGATCTAAAAATATATGGAAAAATTTGTTACTACATTTTAATTGATCTTCCATATATTTTTAATAATTAAGTATCATCCTTAATGTCTGACCTTTCAATTAGCAATCGTGCATCCCATTCCTTTTGAGAATGATAATGACCTGGTTCATAACCGGCTCTATAATATACCACTGCAACTGTATAGTCTTCACTAAAAGTATATATTTTCTGTTATTGCAACAGTTAGTAGATACATTGAAATAATTCCTTACACAATCAGTTCATTACTTGCAGACAGTTTCCCTGTTTGAGCTATTTGCGTCAAATTTCTTCTAATAACTTTTGTATTTCGATTAATCTTTTGAATTTCAAATTCATGAAATCTTTGATCACAAATATTATATGAAATGTCTTCAATCACGAACATTATGACAGCTTCATTATTACCATATATTTTCCACGCTTCAACCATCCCTTCACAAAGCCCTTTAAGAGCATGATTTTCTGGAAGCTTACAAAACAACTAGTTAATATTTTTTATTACAGAATGAAATACTTTACTTACATCTTTTAATTTATCAGTTAATCCTAGTCTTTCGAGAACAAATCTAAGGATAAAATGTTCTATCAATTTTTATACAATTATAAAAAAAAGATTAGAAAGTTTCATGTGAACTTTCCTTAAAATATGTTATTCTCTTGTTTGTCTCTAAACTAATACAGTGAAAAAGACTGCACCGAAAATTACGCAATTCCTATAAATTCTAATTTAGTAATACTACTTTGTTCTACAAAGAATAAAAAGAAAGAAGTAAAATACTATGACGACCGTTATTTTGTTTTAACTTCTTAATGGCCACCAATGTATTAGGAGTTGATATTACCCAACATGCCAATTACTTATTGCGACTGTGATCCATACCTATGCAAATTGATCATTTGGGAGGAAATTCCTCCAAAACTAGAGGCGATAGTGTTAAACTCCACCTGTTTTAAACTGTTGGATGCTAAGGTATGCACCATATAGTCGGACCTAACCAACCCCAAATTTATTTGCTAAAAATAAGTTAAGAATGATAAAATATTAATGATTTATATATTATTAATGAATAACTTGATTGCAAAAAGTAGCAGCTATTAATAAGCGTCGCATTTAATTACATTATATTGTAC